CAGGTGTCTTTAAAGACACCACACAGAATGCCTGCTCTCATGACCTGTGGGAGGAAAAGCATGAGAGACATAATACAAGTACTGATGTAGATTAGTAAAATCTATATTTACCTTTACACGGACTAAAGGAACTTACACATAGAATCAGAAGAAAAAAATACCAATAAAAATGTGTGGGGGTGGGAGGGTGCAGGAAATGAAAACTAGAGATTTTGGAAACTTTCCCTTGTTTGCCACTGGAACAGAATATCTGAGGTTTGTTACTTAGACACGCACATTTTTGAGAAAGAAATTCAGAAATTCTGCCTGAAGTGAACTGCCACAGCTTTAGAAAGAAACAGGAAAAACAAAATGAGAATTATTACACAATTAATAACAAACCAACTGTAAGTGGATTATTCCTTCACGGATGAGCCCGTGTCAGCAGCACATTGCTCAGCCCTAGCGACTGACTAGGAATTCCCACAATGAACATCTTTCAGTCTATCAATAGCAGCTATAAGGCATTTAAAAATTTCACAAATAACAAAATAATTTTTATATTAGATATCTAACTTAAGGTGAGAAATAGGTTGCCCTCAGAGAGGGGATGGCTTTTTTTCCCCCACTTAAAACCCAATCCTGTTACTAAGGAGTGAAACTCTCGCACACTGGAAGTCCTCAACAAGAGCTTATCACCACTTAGTGACTAAAGGATTCGGGCAGCCCAAATATAGGAGTCCTGTTTCTTCATCCCTATTCACTTATTTCTCAGTTCTATTCAGTAGCAGGCCTGGCTTACTTGTGGATACATAGAGGACACAGATAATAAACTAAGCCCCATAGTTGTGTTTTAGCAAGAAAAAAGGTCTCCCTTATTCATACCCTCCACTCTGATTATAAAACCTCTTTAAAAATCTCCTTTTCCAAAACTTCTTATCTAACACATTTCACCACTCACCAATTTCGGAAAAGAGCATGTTAAGGAAAAAAACCTATGTGCATGAAATCCCTCACCCATCAACCTTGTTACATCCACCACTGGCCAATCAATTAACCAGAACTGGAGAGTGCTTTCAATGTAAGTGCGAGATGATCAATGTAGGCCGCAGCATCTCCATCCTCCTGGAGCTTATGATTCAGGAAGTTAAAGTTAGCTCTTGCCTCAACTGAACATAAAGAGATCAACAGGTCACATTCATTACAAGGCAGTATGCCTCAAGGGTCAGATAATGGGTTTAGGAGTAAATGCTCCTACAGTCCAGAAGGAAACATTATAGATCGGCACATTAGAAGACACATTATGAAGAAGAAAGAACGTAAACAAGGCCTCGAAGGATGGGCAGGCAGAGAGGTATCACGTGCTTTTCCACAAAAGGGGTTGGTGGTTCCTACTGCTCTGATTCATCATGGGAAACAACAGCCCTGAACGGTCATGGAACACCTCACAGGAGTGCTCAGAAGTTACACTAGAATAGCTTTCAATGACTGCTTTTAGTACTTAGGGTCTAGAGTGGGGTGTTGCCAATAACAACTTATTAAGAATGGCTTTTGAGAGTTTAAATGAAGAACAATACATGACTGGACAAAACCCCAGATAAATAAAACCACAGAAAGGACAGAGAATGGCCCCAGGCCATCAAGGCTGGTCTACAACCTCACCAAACTCCTTTATGCATCTAACAAGAGAAAACACGTTCATCGTAGGAATTCCTGGTTGGCCGTGGAAGCCTGGAAGCTGCTGACAGAGGGGACACCCAGTGATGCTTATCTGTGAGGGCTTCCGGAAAGAGGCAACTTCAGAAAACAGTCTTTGTGGGTTCCAATGTCCAAGAAAGGGCTTCCAAACTGAAGATAATACACACCTGCTGCCAAAAAATTCTGAGCATCCTTGGCCTCTTGCAGGATAGCTGTTCTCAGTCTGATAATATTAAATGCTAGCTTGGCTTGGTCCTGATGGCAAACTTACACAACTTGTGATGACAGTTTATCATGGAGAGGATGTGCCGGTTCCTATGTGATTTCCCATTGAACTGCCATATTGTATTAGCATTCTGAAGTCCAACCAGTGTTTCAAGAAAGAGTCCTGTGAGTCTGCACTGAAAAGAAGACTCTGAGACCATGGCTCAACNTTTTCCACAAAAGGGGTTGGTGGTTCCTACTGCTCTGATTCATCATGGGAAACAACAGCCCCGAACGGTCATGGAACACCTCACAGGAGTGCTCAGAAGTTACGCTGGAATAGCTTTCGATGACTGCTTTTAGTACTTAGGGTCTAGAGTGCGGTGTTGCCAATAACAACTTATTAAGAATGGCTTTTGAGAGTTTAAATGAGGAACAATACATGACTGGACAAAACCCCAGATAAATAAAGCCACAGAAAGGACAGAGAACGGCCCCAGGCCATCAAGGCTGGTCTACAACCTCACCAAACTCCTTTATGCATCTAACAAGAGAAAACACGTTCATTGTAGGAATTCCTGGTTGGCCATGGAAGCCTGGAAGCTGCTGACAGAGGGGACACCCAGTGATGCTTATCTGTGAGGGCTTCCGGAAAGAGGCAACTTCAGAAAACAGTCTTTGTGGGTTCCAATGTCCAAGAAAGGGCTTCCAAACTGAAGATGATACACACCTGCTGCCAAAAAATTCTGAGCATCCTTGGCCTTTTGCAAGATAGCTGTTCTCAGTTTGATAATATTAAATGCTAGCTTGGCTTGGTCCTGATGGCAAACTTACACAACTTGTGATGACAGTTTATCATGGAGAGGATATGCCGGTTCCTATGTGATTTCCCATTGAACTGCCATATTGTATTAGCATTCTGAGGTCCAACCAGGGTTTCAAGAAAGAGTCCTGTGAGTCTGCACTGAAAAGAAGACTCTGAGACCATGGCTCAACACTACCCAAGCTTTTGAGACTATAAGTACGTGGGCCCAGGTAAGGAATGCCACTCTCACGGGGCTGAGCACTGGAACACTTACAAATTTCTACTCACTGGTATACGTGGAGAGGTAAGAGCTCATCCCTCGGGTTCCTTATTAATAAATTGAAAACAATAATTGCACCTACTTTATAGGAGGGTTGTAAGGACTGTTTCTGGCACTTAGGAGGGACTATGTAAGTGTTTGCAGTGATAACTGTCATTATTACTTCCACAATCAGCATGTTTATCAGTTGAGAAAATACTCACCTATAATGGTCACTTCATCTATTACCCCATAACAATGACCCCACTCTGGGGACATGAGAATCTGCTGGTTTCAATCACTGTGTGGTACGGGGAAGATGCATCCCACTCCGTGCAGAGAGCTCAGGAAGTGCCAACTCCTTGCAGAGAACAACTCTGCAGCAGAATGAACAAGTCGATGGCCCAGGAATGACCCCACCAGTTTGCCCCAGGGGACACTCACCACATAGAGCTTGCGCCAGATGACAGCCCATTCTCGCAGAGTCGCCGTCAGCTCCTGCACCAGGGGGAGCTCACCAGGAATCACGGTCTCATGCTGCCTAGAGAGAACCAAACGGAGGCTCACTTTACTCCAGTTTGACTGGTGTTGCTTATCTTGACAGAGACATATTCCCCAAGTCTCAAGGAGAGAAATGGACTGGTTTGGTTTGAAACGAAGCAAAAAATGCCCATGGCGGGAGTGGTTTCTGTAGGGAACTTTATCACATTTAGGCATCTGAGAAAAGAGAAGGGGTTTAGAACAGCACAGTCCTCAAAATGGACTTAGTTTCTGCAACGGAATGGGCCCACAGCCCAGCCTTGACCTCCCCATATAGGGTCTCTCCAGGAGCCTCAATTACCCAGCCAGGCTGACCTCAGTGATTCTCAGGGATGGAAGCAAAAAATTAAATATTTTAGCTTGTTCCACCAGGCAGCTGTCTTACTTGGGGGAGAGGGGGTGAAGAGGTGTAGATGGCACAGGGGTCCTGGGGCTGGTGACCTCACCCAGGACCTGCTGGTAGGGACAGAGGCAGTCCCTTTTCTAGAAAGGTACTGGCTTTTCTTCTCATCTGCTGCTTCACAGCATAGGAAATGTATACATATATGTAAAAATCCTTCCTTACTCACAGTAGACTTATAAAATGGTAGGCTCTACATTATTCACATAAATTCCCTCTGGTGTGACTATGATCAGCAAAAGGAGAGAGCAAGAACAAGCAAACCAAGGGGGATTAGTGGTAGGACTGACAGATTTAACAAATAAAAATACAGGATGTCCAGTTACGTTTGAATTTCAGATATATTTAGCTAATTTTTTAGAATAAGTAAGTCATGAACTATCTGGGACATACTTACTGTGAACAATTACTTGTGATCTGAATTGCAAATTTAACTGGGCATCCTGCATTCTACCTGGCAATCCTAATTAGCAGAATATGCCTCCTACCCAGCCTCTCTATCAACGTGGTGGGGGGCCGTGGAGGCTGCCCAGGAATGGCCCACAGGAAAGAGGACTTCTCCAGGAGGGCAGGAGACCTGGTTTTTGGTCCTGGTTCTGCCACTGAAGAGCTGTATGAATGTGAGTGCATCTCCACCTCTCGCCTATAAAATGATGGTGCTGCACTTAAGCCCAAGAAAGTTCTTTCTAACTCTGAGGCTGCATGACCCTGTGACCCAGCTATCCATCCTCCCCTCGGCTCCACACTGCTCTCTCCAGCCCTGGGAATCTCTCCAGACACTCTTCACTGCCTCCTTAACTCTCTCGCCTGTAGCCTCTCTCGCCCACTTTGGCTGAGGATCTCCCTCTTCTTAGCTGCCACAAAGGCAGTACTTTCCAGGACAAATGAGGAGGGCCAGAAACAAGAATGCCCCAGACTGAACAGATTTTACCTGCAGAGCACATTCACGCGCACCATTTCATGTGAATCTCACATCAAGCTCATGACCAACGTCGGGCCAGACTGCTCTCCCCAAAATGCAGTGAAAAACCCAAGGTGCACTTGAGGCTCCACGACTCATCCAAGTTTCAGAGCTGATAAGTGCAGGCTGTTGTTCAGTTAACCATCTCTCAAAGATCCCAAACTGGGGCTTCTTAGGTTTACCAGCCAAAGAGCCCCAAATATTCGTGTGTGCAAACACACACACACACAGACACACACACACGCACGCACGCACGCACACACACGCACACACACACATACACACTGGTGAGCAGGGAGCAAACAAGGGGGAGATCCAGGCCCTCAGCTCATTATTTTGTCTTCCTTACTCTAGGGAAGGGCGCCAGGGAGGGACAATTACAGAAAGAGAAGGCAGAGGAAGAGGTTCTATCAGGGAAGGTTTTTATTCATTTCCTTCTCATATGAAGAGAAGCTGAATGGATGAGATGAGAAAAATATTAATGCACCCAAGACAGTCTTTAACAATAATCTTATATCTTCATCATTCCTAGACTGGAACTTACCCTCGGTCTTCCACGGTTGCCTCTTTCAAATGGATGTACGTTTCCGGGAAAATACCCTACAGAGAGAAGCACTTCGGTTATGTGGCCATAAAAATAACTTCAGCCCAAAGTAAAAAGCATGAATGGCAGAGAGAATGAATGGGAACCCCTCAGCAATGGCTAAATTTCGAGATCAGGACTGAAGGACATCAGCACCAAGGATATCAGGCTACCTGGACAAAGGCATGGGACAAGCCCAGAAAGGGCATCAATTAGACATGGGTTCAGAGAGCACAGGATAAATGTTTTGTAATGAAGAAGCATCCATGCCCAGGTCAGCTCAGAGCTACTATAAGAGTAAGAAATTTAATAGAGAGCTCCTAAAAGCCCTCTAGATATTACATGCCATGAGAGGCTTCCTTTAAAAGGTTTCTCATAATGAGTGCGATGGAGACTATCTAATTCTCAGTGGCCCATAAAATTATAGGGATGTTCTAAAGTAATTCCTCTCAGCACTTTTACACAAAGCAAATGCACCCAAAATCAGTGAGTATTATTTAGCTGGTTATTTTTAGCACTTGAGAGTCCCAAATTGCTCTCCATGCTATTTCCTTAAGGCATAATTGCTCGTAGGTATTGTGACATTGCCCATGGGAAAACTAAGGCTCAGAAAGACCTTAGAAAAGACAGGAAACCAGGGGGTAGAAAGAACTGAGGATCAGATCTAACCAAGAGAAAGAAAGTCACAGATGTGTTTTCTTAAATGCCAAAAGCTTCTGTTGTTTCGCTGTGTGATATGCTCATCAGCAAACGGATTAGATGCCACCTGAAGAAGGCACTGCTGATCTTCGTTTTATGGTATCGTACATGCAGGACCAGAAGAGGCAGGAGCAGAACCTGTTTAGCTGGCACCACTGGCTCAACTGCTCCCAGTCCTGCTCCTGGAAGAGCTGGTGTGAGCTCTGCAGACATTCTATGTCAGGGGTGGCTAACCACAAAGGAGGGAGGGAAATCCCACTGCCTGGAGGACTGTGGTCTAACATGTGTGCCCCAGGTGATCCTTAATCCGCTCAGACATGGGAAACTAGTGAACACTGGCAGGGTTGGTCTTGTGTCCAGTTTCACACATTCTATTTGTCTGCACAATACTCTTCTTTCTCCCTTTTCACCCTTTGTCAGTAAAACAGGAAACAGCAAGAACGTGTGACATTAAGCTGCTCCCAGTGCTGGGGATGACAGGGCGCACTCTGCATCTGCTCGAGTAAGAAGTGTGATGGCCAGCCTTTCCAACCAGGCAGAAAGAACTAGAAACAAAGTGCATAACTTCTCCTGTTCACCTTGAGAAAGGGGCAGGCGTGGGGTGTGAGTGAGCAAGCCCTATTCCAGTCCTGCCACTGATCAGACCAAGAACACTGACCTCTTTCACTATAGGGACAGGATTCAGAGCACTTGTGGGAAACTGATCAAACAATTAACAACAAGCAAAAAATCAATGTGTGTGCAATTCCTCTGGGCCTGATTTCTGGAGTTCTGAAACTCCAGATCTATCCCTAGATGCCTAAGGAACACTGGGTGTTTCTTCTGCCTGCTAAGCTGAGGTCAATGATTTGTTGCTATCATCTCTGTGACGAACCGACCTGGTTGTCGAGACCTCACCTTGAAGACATGATGCTAAGTGAATAAGCCAGACACAAAAGGACAAATGCTGCAGGATTCCACTTCCATGGGGTGCTAGAGGAGTCAAGCCCGTAGAGACAGTAAGTAGAATGGGGGCTTCCAGGGGCTGGGGTGAGGGGGGTGGGGAGTTATTGTTCAATGTGCACAGAATTTTGGCTTGGGAAAATGGAAAAGTTCTGGAGATGGATGGTGGTGATGGCTGCAATAACGTGAATGTATCTAATGCCACAGAACTGGACACGTACCAATGGTTAAGGTGGTAAATTTTATGTTATGTATTTTTTACCACAATTTTTAAAAGTCCAGAAATCATAAAAAGGAGTGTGTTGGGTGGAGATGAACTACTTAATGTAGTAGTTATAAGGATCCATTACCAGAGGTTAAAATAAGATGTAACATTGCTAGTCCAAAGGAATATCCTTGCACAAGGTTTTCCAAATCAAGAAGGTAAAAGACCAATCAAGATTTTCATGCATTCATAATCGGGTGAATGGTCCCTCCTAATAACTGGGAGACATCCATAATAGAAGCTTTCAGAAATATAATTAGTGACAAATTTTGTGACATCGAAGCAGATCATAAGCAGATAATTTATATCGGATGTACAGGCAGAATGATTTCTATATTAAGAGATTATTTATTTTGTCATATTACCACTCTGTCACCATCTTTCCATGATAGCACTTGGCCATTTATAATCATTTAATTGCTCTGGCAAGTCTGATGCTTGTAGAACTTTTCCTCATGTCACTACGACACACAGAAAGCCAGAGTGAACCTGAGTATACATTTCTGATTTACAGCCTATTCCTCAATTCTGCTTTTCTCTCTCAATGCAACATACTCACTTTAGTTATAAGAAAAAAAAAAAAAAAAAGATTTTCTAGATTATCCACACTCCTGCCAGGATCAATAATCGGTTTCTGAAAAGCTCTTGGCTTCTTCAATCTGTAAAACCGCTAGCTGCTTTTACCACTACTCTAAATGGCTAGGTTGGCTTATAAATGACACTGAGAACTTCCATTAAAATAATAGGCCTCTCAAGTAGCTCTTCTCCTGCAGCGTGGGAAGGAAGGACACAGCATTAGGCAGGCCTTTCTAATGGGCTGAATCTCTTAATGAAAGGGTGTCACAAGTTGGGCACAGTTTGTGACAACTGACTTGGAATTCCCCCTATTTTTTCCTGGATCTCTCCACAAGACAGACATCTCGACTTAAAAAAAAATCGACCAATAAATGCGTGGCCCTGGTCTGTGTCATTATTTCATTGAATTACAAACTTTTTCTTCAATTATCAAGAACAAAGAGCTCTTATTGAAATAATTCTTCTAAAGGGTGAGGTTTTAAGTTTAAACAAGGTTTTTAAGAATCCTTTAATGAATACAAAAAAATGTAAAACACCTACAGAACTTGTCATGTAGATCATAGTAGGGCTCCCTGTCTATCTACTTTTCAAAGCAGACAAGGGCACTACTACCTAGATGGATTTTTGGTATATTAGGAAATCAGAGGATGCCTTAGAAACAAGATTGTCTATGCTCAAAATCATCCTTCCACACTGCAGAGTCTCTAAAAAGAAAGATCTGTGGTCTGGGACCTTGTTTCAACATGACTGACATTTACTAGCTAAAAAATCAAGACTTGTGTTTGTTCCTTTAGTTCATATAATTTTATCTGACAATAATTTTTTGTTTATTTTTTAAAAATTAACTTTAAAAATAAAAGGATTGGGAATTAAGTGACAAGCATTCTTACTCTTGAACAAACTCAGAACATCAAAGTTGTTAACTCTAATCATTCTTTGAAGTAACTCCCACTTTCACAATTGTGAGTGAAATATAAACACTGACAGGGCTGAGAAGCAGGTACTCCGTCTCTCAGAGGGTCCTGAAAGAAAGGCCTGGGCTCTAGCCCTATCATGCTTTCATTCATAAGGCATATGTGTCATTGTAAGTCCCTATTTGGAGGCCCAGAGAAACTGAAGTCAGCAAAAGATGAAACGAAAATAATTAAGCTGGAAATGAGGACAGGTGGCACTAGCCATCTAACTGTGGATAGAAAAATTCAGCATCAGGATTTTGGGAAAGACAAAAGGAATGAAATTGTGGGAGTTGATACTTGCATCAAAAGCAAACACTACTTTATTTTGCTAGATTATTAAACGGTCCAAGTTAACAAAATGTGTGTGCATACACATACATGTGCAAATACTGAGTATGATTTAAGTATCAACAACACACAAAGCAGTCCTTGTTTTTAACGGCCCATACTTTTGCTGGACCCTGTGTTCTTTTGAGCACGGGGTGTCCAACATCGCCCTACCTGTAGAAGATTATTTCTATCTCATGCTGTGTTTGAAAAGTAAGAACTGTGGGTTTGGTTTGGATTTTTAACCCCCCTCTTGATAAATTCTAAAGTGTTCCTCTCATCCCTTCACTAATTTGCTATTTGGCATGTGAACTAATTGTGAAATAATAAGCCCTATCAACTCTGCTCTTTCAAAAGAAAGTGCTGACATGTTGTACTGCCTCAGCGAGCGGTATCAAATGGAAAGCTGCTATGTGACCTAGCACAAACCAAGGGGGTATTAACATAATTAATACATTTTCTTAGCTTGATGATTAGTAGCTTTGGCACTGTGAAAAGGAAACGACTAGGTCAGTATTTTTCACACTCTGCCCATAACGAATAGTAAGAGATACATTTTTATGGCAACCCAGTACTATATACATAAAATACACAAAAATAAAATAAAAAATATGCAAAATACATAAAAACATATACCTAAAACAAAAGTCTTGTGAAAGAATACTTACCATTGCATCCAATTTTTTTCTTTACTTTTCAGTTTTATCTTTTGGAACATGTTGGTTATAACTCACTATATTTCATGATGTATTATCGGGGTTCTAAGGCTCACAGTTTGAAAACCGCAACTTTGGTTCATCCATTTTATAAGAAAGGAAAGAATCAAGTGGAAATGGGGAGACCCTTTTGTTCTGGGATTTTAGCACTGGAAGTAAAGGATAAAGGGAGAACCATGAATCCCTCCCTCCTGGAAAGGTATTTCACTAGAGCAATGTGACTGTCTTACCACCCTGCTTAGCTTGAGGGACAGGGAGCTGGGACCTTCTCCTTGAACTGGCTGGTGGGAAATATGGTAAGATGGAATTTATACTATTATACCTAAGCACTGAAGTCAGAGAATAAGCTTTCCAATCATAAGAAGAGCCATGGAAGAGAAGCAAACTAGGTCTAGAGATACAGCAGAGAGCAGATAGGGGAATTAGATAGCAACACACAAAACAGGTAGACAGATTTCAAATGAAATAAAAAATTGAATGATAAGCCATACCTTTTTAGATTTATTTTGGAGGGTATATCCTCTGTACCAACCTGTCAGGGTATAAGAGAACACAAAATACTTTATGTTTCATGTGCTAATGTAAAGATAACAGCAATATACATTCTCATGCTCTGTTAGCAATCCTGGGATGGAATCCAAGAGACAATAAGCAGACAATATATTAGAATGTGAACATTTTAGTCTACTACACAGTAGAAATCCAGATCTATTTTAGAGCTTCATTCTCTTAATAACTATAGGATTTAAAATTCAGTTAGAACCAAGCCTCATCTCTATTCATTTGGAGAAAGGATTAAAAAAAAACCCCAACAAGACAGAAGTTAGCCCAACCTCTTAACTGCTTAATACCTTGCAGTCATTCAATAAAGTTTTTCATGAATATGGGATTTCATCAAATATATACTTTCTACAAGTCACTTTATACTATTTAAATATTGTTAAATAATTTATATTTGCTCTCTCTCACTCCTCTGAGTTTCCAAGTTAAGAACCACTATTCTGGAACAATTTTAAATTAGAGTAGCAAATCTTACATATAAAAATACTTGCACCTAAAAAACATCCAAACAAACAGTAAAACATCGTTTTATGCAATTCTTGGTAATGCTATAATTAATTCCCTCAATAAAAGACACTATGGGTTTGCCTGATTTAGGCAAAGGCTTCCACTTCTTTTTTTAAAATTCCAATGAAGACATAGACCTATGAATATTTTCCCACCATCTATCTTGTAGAGGGAGATTACAATTTAATACATAAACAGATATTTTATATTATTTACTGGACACCTACTACATACAGTTCACTGTACTACTTTTCCTCCTTCCCTATGACCATCAGCTAAGATATTAACGCAATCATCTTGCCTAAGAAAACCTTGTTTAAGTAGCACACATGTGGAAGGCAGCCTCATACATACAGTGACAGTAGATTCAAACTGCAATCAAAACTTGAGGCACCTACCAATGGTGTTCTAAAACTCTCCTGCAATTTGTTCTATATGAAATCACTCAGACACACAGACACACAACAGACACACAGACGCACAACAGACACATAATCTATTTTGTACATGTTACAAGTAGAAAATTGAATTTAGGGCCGGCCCGGTGGCGCACTGCTACAGTGCTCCACTTGGGAGCGCAGTGGCGCTCCCGCCGAGGGTTCGGATCCCACATACAGACCGGCCGCTCACTGGCTGAGCGCGGTGCGGGCGCAACACCGAGGATTGCGATCCCGTTGCCGGTCCCGGTCCGGTACGGGCGCGACACTGAGGGTTGCGATCCATTGCCGGTCACGAAAAAAGACAAAAAGGAAAAAAAAAAAAAAAGAAAGAAAATTGAATTTATCTCTGTTGGGCACAGATTTAATAATATTTTCACAAATTTAAAACTGTCAATGGTATTGAAAAAGTTAAAAGACTTTGCTGTTTTGACAGGAGGAATGGGGTACTGTGCTGTGCAACTGTGGTTTGTATCAAGGCACACAGTTGAGAAACAGGTATCTGAACAGGAAACACTGCCCCCAATTTAGGATGCCAATGTGTAAGAGATCCAGGTATAAGAAGTACACCAAGCTAAACATTTCTCCCCGGGTCTCAAGACTCTGCACCGACCTGCACATGAAAATGGCTTTTACATGAATGAATGGCTTCAACTTCATCCTGGGACAATGGCCGAGTGGGAGGGCATGCTCAGAAACAAACCCGCAGTCTTTTGCAAGCAATTTTCATCTTCCCACACCCCACAAAGCTGAGATATCACAGCATAGACTTTGCTCCACTTTTGGAGAAAAATTTATCTGTACTTTTGTAAACAGTTTTTTTTTTTTTTTCCTTTTAGTCTTTTTTTACTGACCGGCAACGGGATCGCAACCCTCGGTGTTGCGCCCACACCACACTCAGCC